TTGAAATTTCATCCAGACTGGGCATTTTGGCCCTGTTTGTGCCAACCAGGGCCAAAACAGGGCCAGGAAATGCGCGTGTGAGAGTTATATTTGAAATTCAACCCTTATAAATTAAATGAATCACACTACACTCTATTAACAAAATCAATACACTACACAACACCACACTACACTTCATTAACAAAATGAAAACACAACACTACACTATTAATGAAAGTAATTACACTACACTAATAAAACAAATCAAACACACTACACTACACTACACTATTAAAATGAAAACACTACACAACACTCAAAAATGAAATTCATTACACTACACTAATAAAACAAATCAAACACACTACACTACACTACACTATTAAAATGAAAACACTACACAACACTTAAAAATGAAATTCCTTACACTACACTAATAAAACAAATCAAACACGCTACAAACTTGAAATTCACTACACAACATCATTAAAATAAAAACACTACACAACACTCAAAAATGAAATTCATTACACTACACTAATAAAACACATCAAACACGCTACAAACTTGAAATTCACTACACAACATCATTAAAATAAAAACACTACACAACACTCAAAAATCAAATTCATTACACTACACTAATAAAACAAATCAAACACGCTACAAACTTGAAATTCACTACACACCATCATTAAAATAAAAACACTACACAACACTCAAAAATGAAATTCATTACACTACACTACTCAAATAAGTCAATTTGACATTTACCACACCACACTATGAAAATAACTACACCTCACTACACTTTTGACCAAAAAAAAAAAAAGTTATCAATCTTCCGAAAATTGCAGGATAGTTGCTCCTCATATGCCTGACTCCATATATGTTCACGGTTTATCTGTAGCATCACTGGTACTTGAGTTATTGAGCGCGCAAAAAGCAAATCCCAAGTAAAATTTTTTGTTTTGCTCATAGCTTCAAATCTTGTTTATGAACTTTGAATTTTCAATGTTTTTCTAAACTCTCCACATCATTGTGCATGTTTTCATACCCTACAAGTCTGGTTTATCTTAACTCGTTCTATGTGGAATAAAAAGTCGGTTGTTCATTGATATTTGATGTGTTAAGCGTTTGTGTGTTTTTACAAAGTTAGAGTAGCGATTTGAATTTGATAACAATGTAAACCATATTTGACACCTTTAGACCTTATTCTGATTGTAGTTTCAAGGAATGGTTGTATAAAAAAAGATATTTAACTAAGTTGTTGTCCTATGATGCAAAAAAAACATATACCTGGGGCACCAGAGTATTCACACGTGGTCCCCCACCGCACTACTGACTCGGCCCTACAATGTTTGAATGCGCAGATCGGACGGGATGCGGTAAGTTCATTGTGGTATGGCCCCAGATAACAGTCTTAACTATTTATCGGATTAAT